AATACAATTGGCCATGCATTAAAACCACATTAAATTACCAGGTAAAATATGCAGCAGAGCTATGTCATGCATGCATTGAGAGTGGGCTCGTTTTGACCGCTAATGTCTTCCAAATGTGCAGTGACATACTAAAAGATGACATCATGATCGCCTCAACTATTTTTTCCCTTTTTTTGAGCAGGAGTCCAGCTCAAAGTGGAAAGTCCCTCTCTTTCTGGAGTTGTGAAAGCACTAAGCAGCCATCACAACTTTCTGACCTCAGCTCTACATTCGGACGAGCTGACCTATCATAAAAACATGTTCCCACAGCAACACATTATGAAATGTTGTTAACGAAAATATAGGTAATAAATCATAATTAATATAGAACCAAATTTGTGTAACACAATAATGCTAAAGCAGGATTATTACAAATAGAAAATACAATGTTTGTAAATGTATAAAATTGTGAAAAACATGAGCTACAATAAAATAATAGCAAAAATGTAACTCTTAGTAGTTAGTAGTTAGTAGTATGTATAATGAGTCATAGAAGTTACAGGGCCTGTATTGTGCTATATTTCTGATCTATGTTATAATGTCATTGCCTCATCAAAAACATACCTGGAGTTGTGTTTTGTTTCATTCACACCTTCAACACACAAATCCTGTATATTTAGGTTGTGACTTTCTCCCAAATGGAAAACACTCCACCTTGTGATGCCATGTGGTAATACAGAAACTCCATACATCTTCACTAGAATCGTTTAGATGATTTCAGACCTGAAATTGCCAATCTTGCCTGAACTAAAACGTGAAATGTAGTTTTAACTTGAAAACTACCACTACTTGAGAGACACAGAACAGGCAGACTAGAAATAAAGGGTTACTCAAACGTGTGAATGAAACAAAACACAACCCAAAAAAACTAAAATAACACACATCTCTATACCATTATTTGACTTTGTGATGACAGTCACAGAACAGTGAGCAGAGTGTGAAAGAGTAAAGTTTGGTTTACAAGCGGTTTACAAGTTTATATCGCTAAATATAACTCTTTACAACTTCTCCTTTTACAGGTGTCATTGTAATGGAGACAAAACAGTTATTATGTTTGGATAAGGACTTGAAGGCTGCTTTGGAGTAAGTGGCCAAACTTGAATGTGAAAGAAACAATCTGAAGGACCGTCTGAGAGAGCAGACGCAAATCAACTAACAGCTCTCCACTGAAATATCTGACCTTAAAGAAGAGCTCAAAGCATTGAAAAGTGCCCATATTGACACTGAGTAATAGTTAAAGCAAGAGAAGTGTGAGAGTGCGGCTTGCAAGACTCTCACAATCATATTGTGGGCCGGCAATTCAATGATCAGATTAGGTCCCACAATGAGTCCAAGAGTATTATAAGGACTGTGCAGGACAACAGTGATACACCAAATATCAACAGGGCCACTGGAAATGAGCAGCAGAGGACTTCAGCTCAAATTGACAGGATTGTATGCCCTCTCAATGACCAAATCAGGTCTCAGAGTATTCTCATTAAGAAATTTCAAGATGAGAGCCAGAGACTGAAAGAGGAGATTAGGGTGCGCCAGGAGCAGCCCACCACAAGCACTTCTCCCCAAAGTCAAGCTACGAAACATAAATAAAAACATGATAATCTCCAGAAAGATTTCCAGAAGATGAAAGAGGAGTTTACATCTGTGCAAAGGACCAAAAACATCCTGATCTGCACCAACCAAGACCTGAAGGAGCAGGTCTAGAGTTCAGCAGGCAATATTGCCAACCCCAAAGGAGTTTCACTGATGAAAAGTGAGAAAGTGGGACTGGGTTGCAAGTATGAGGTGGACACTGAGAATCTGGACTCTGGACTGGTAAAAGAGCTCCAAGACCAGTAAAAGCACAAAACAGAGGAAAAGGTATATTACAAGAGTCGCCCAGACAGCAGATTTCGCAAACTGCAAGAATCCAAAATCATCATAAACAAGTACATCAAGGAAAACAATAATCTTAAAGAGTACATCCACGAGTTGAGGAAAGTAGACTCCAGGATGAACTAAAACAGGAGCAGGAAAAAATCCAAAAACTCGAAAAGGGCGAAAAGAAATGAGTGGAGACCTTAGCGGCAAAGATGAGATCTGATTTGAAACAGCAGAGAAAAGATAAAATCACTGCAAAGTCAAAGAGCTCGAGAAAAGACTTAAAGACAGGCGCGCATTTTTCAAGGTGGTAATAGAGAAGTGCCACACTCAGGAGCTCACTGCAAAAGTCCAGTATACAAACACGCCCACACACACAGACACATATAACAAAAAACACCACAACACAAAACCCAAACCAAACTATTTAGATAAGAGTTGGCAATAAAAAATACAAAAAAATAATAATAATTATGATATGATTTGCAATGTGTTTTGTTTTGATGTTTTAGTACTTCACTTAGTTTACAGATAGATTCCTTTGTTCTGAAGGCGCTTTTAAAGGAAATGTGTTATTATCTACTACAAAACTTTATTATGCTTCGTTCACATTGTGTACTAAATTAAATTCTAAAAAACCAAACTGCAATCAGATTAAAATTTTTTCCAGTTGGATTATTACAACACATCACACATACCACGAAATCAGTATGTGGTATTTATAAATGATATATTGGGTGTAATAATGTGAAATGTGAAGAACTGATTAATTGATTTACTGTGCACTTTGTAACTTTTCTTTTTGTTTCCATGGAGATGTTATTGCTTTGTAGTATAGTATAACATTAAACTTTCTCATCTCCAACAGGTGACATCATCAGGCCAAGTTACAGGTAAAGATCTGTGGAGAGGCGAGCTCACATAGTAAGAATGCATGTTTCACCAAGAAATGTTTGCAATAAATGTATCAGTATGAGAACTAAAGTAATAGAATTTCCATGCAAACCTGAAAAAGTAACAAAGTGGACCTTTAAAGGGCTTATTGAAAAATAACACAAAGTTCCCTACTAATACAAAGAAAAAGTACCCAAAATAATATTGTTCCATTCATATTATTCTGTTGAGACATGACTGAAGTTGACAGTATTGTCACAGGCATATTAACAGCAAACTCTGTCTCTGTTTTTCACATGCATGTGAATACCAGTCTGCAACAGGTGCTCCTGATTTACCAACTCGCCGCCTCTTCCCATCTCTCCACGAGGAATTTTGCAAGAGGAAAAACTTCACTCTGCTCTATCCTTCCGATGGGAACAATTGTGTTTCATCCACTTGGCAAGGCTCCAGTTGGGATAGAAAGCTCTCAGCTGTTTTGGTCCCAAAGATGTGGTCTGTAATTGGTTTAAGTGCAGTCTCGACTATCAAAGCAAAATATTAAACTGGCAGTATTACGACACTCTAGGAATTTGATGATGCTTTACGCAATTTTAACTCTCGTAAAACAACCAAAACATAACAAAAGGATTTGTTTTAGTGTTTCTGTTGGATCTGGGTTTTGACAAGTCGAGACAAAACTCATTTTAGTCTGGTAAAAAAAAAGTCCCAGTGTGAGCATTAGAGGTGTTAGTGGTTTGATGGTTAATATGTCAAATTACATGTTAGAAAAAGGCCTCACAAACCGCCAAAGGACAATAAAAACAACTGCATTAAGTAGAAAACTTAAAAAGGGCTACTCAATTATAGCAAAAAACATCACAAATATTTGGCTCATGCTCAAAATCACAATAATTTCAAATGATTACTTTTATAAAGTCACATGCAGAGAATGTATAGACCTAATATCCCATCTCATATCTCATTAGTAATGTTTTCAGACACTGTTTAAAAGCCTATGTAGATAAGACGATTGCAAATGCTCCAGATTTTGAGTGCACATATCACTCTGACCCGAGATTAATCAATTGTATTTTCAATGGCATTTTTGTAATTGAGTAGATGATTGAATGATTGAATTTGGATGAATTGCATAGCCCTGTTAAAATGTTTTAAGTGTTGTCCTAACAAGTCCAAGAGTTGTAGAGGCAGGAGACTCTGGATATCTGAGGAAAGTTTATTTACCATCAGTCTGGGACCCGGTGACTTTAAAACTCAACACTGCATGTTAGCATTGGCTATACAAACCCAGCTATACTTCCACACAAGGAGGTTTCAATGGGAACTAAGAAGGACAGCTTGGAGACTGGCTGGCCAAGATAAAAATAAGACATGCATAGCATACCGCTTTTGTGAGAGGAGTTGACCAAGGAAACTGATCATGTTAAAGAAGGACACATTCTGTAATAGTTGGATGGTGCCACAGTAACGACAGAGACATGTCAATAACGAAATGGAGGTGTCCTTGCTAAGACTATGCAGGGGATGCAAGATTCCACAGCAAACCCTACCTGCCTCTCTTTAGTAAGACAGAAGACAGTAAACATTTAGAACAGAAAAGTAAAATAGGTGTTTCAGTTTTGTTTTGAGCCACTGGAACCATGCAAGGTTGCTTTTTCCTTATGTTCATTTTAAGGATATTTAAGATCAACCCAAACATAGAATTTCTTATGTTTTGAGTGTTAAATTTTTGAGTGTCTAAAATGTTCATTACTTGAGCCCTGTTCAAGTCTGGTATGTTTGGACTGTTGCCTAATCTGAAATTTCATCACTCTAATCTGTGAAAAATACCAGATCCACTCCTTATTTAACAGTGGAGAAGGGCAGTGACGGATTTAACTTAAACTATTGTCCAAACGCTACACATGTAGTATTCACTGATTTCAATCTTTTGTTTATAGGCAGCATTTCGAAGACTTTTGCCTATTCAAAAGACACATTATTTCACCATGCATTGTTAATCACTATGGGAATGTTGCCTACTTTTAAAGGGCTCATATTGCGCTATTTTCTGATCTATGTAATAACATGAATGAAACAAAACACAACTCCAGGTATGTTTTTGATAAGATAACATTCTAACATGCTTGAAGCTCACAAGAGTCAAATTTGCGTAATACATAACCTTTAATCACTCTGAAACACATGGATAAGAGTGGACTGGCACTTACTTGAATACGGTGGTAGAGTTATGTGAGAACTGCTGCCAGAATCCTCCAGAGAGATCTCCTAAAGAAAAACAAAGGTAAGAAGACACCAGTTAAATTAATGTATGTGGTGATAGCCTAACCTTGAGAATGAACACAAGCAAATGTAATGTATAGAAAAGATATGCCCAGTTTCCTCCTTTAGTAGCTGTTCTTTTCAGTAACGGTGTACACTTAATGATAACAAGCCTTCGCCTCTGCACTTTTTAAGATAGTACCTGAGCACAGCTGGGCCCAATAAAACTTCCTGCTTTGTAATAGGAACATGCTCTTTTGATTAAGTCACTAATATGAAGATATGGTTCTCCATGGTGACCAGGCCTAACATGGCAAACAAGGGATGAAGAACTAGTCCTGCTGGCAAGATATCCAATGTTGATTTGTCCCATTTGCTTGGAAACTCATCAGATAATTGTACTTTCCCACACAAAAATGACATAAGACATTAGCGAAGGTATCAGCTTAGATTTTTGTTGGTATCACATAACAACGAGAGAATAAACCAGAGTCCCCCAGAGATTGGATCAAACAGGATACAGCATCGGAAAGCCAGACAAAAGATGGGGCATAAACACTTGCGGTGAAATATTTGACTGGTATTTTGATAATTGGAGGGCATTTTGTAACTTGATTCAATTTTATGAAAGAATTTAACACTATAATGCTGTTTATAGACAACAACTTAATTTGATATAGCCACATATCTAAATATACTGTATAATTACGTTATTCCACATAGTATGGTAATTATTGTTATTGTGGAGAACTAGCAGTGTGGCATTGTATATATGCTACAATTTCTCTTTTTACTGCCCTGGGAAGTAAACAAAGATCCCATATGTAAATACTTTGCAGCCACTACTGGGAACAACTTTAAAGGGCCTATATTACGATATTTTCTGATCCATGTTGTAATGTTTTTTCCTTATCAAAAAACTGGATTTGTGCTTTGTTTAATTCATGCATGTTTAACTCAAACCCTGCATATCTGAGTTCACCTTGTGTAGCAATACAGAAAGTGTTCAGCTGTGTTTTTAAACTCCATACACCTTCACTAGAATCATTTGGATCATTTCAGCCCTGAAATTTCCTGCTTTGGAGATGTAGACAGATAATAATAATAATGAATAATAATTATTCAAACATGTGTGAATGAAACGAAACACAACTTACAAGCTCACAAGAGGACCTTTACTACTTGCTATTACTACTTACTACTTATTCAGATGGTATTATGAAAATTTTATAAGTGAGAATGAATGATGTGAGTTTATGTGAAATCTATATGAAATATACAAGGGTTTCTAAGGCTCTGTTTCAGTTTTTAAATAAATGAATAGAGCAATTTACTGCAGTTGTAATAGAAATGTTCTGTGTTTTGGAGGGTAATTATTGTATTGTATTGTATTGTATTGTAGGTTTTCCAAATGCTGTCCTAAAGGAGAGTGGAAAACTGATGCTTCCTACATTAAAGTCTAGGATTCAGAGGTTTTATCACCTATCATCTGCTTTGCCCATTCAAACCTCTTTTGGCTTTGACATTTACACACATGCTACCTGTATTATATTCACAGGGTCCCAGGTGTCCAGCCATTCAAGTCCTTATAGATCTGTGATGGAGAAGAGTACAACAGAAAATGTCAACTTTTGAAATGATTTTAGAGTCTACCTTTTGGTCTACGTACAAGTGTCTGTTCATTTTTAACTTTGCCCTGGTTGATAAAATATAAACTTTCTCACGTATCAATTCAAAAGTATTCATGACTTTCAGCTTCCTGTTTATAATAAAAAAATATATACATTTCATTTTTAATTGTTAATTGCTATAATAACAAAACTCATTTTTTATCATTCTGAAATCCACAGATAATAGGGCTGAGCGATTTGGGAAAAATGTCTAATTGCCAGGATTCTGTTCAAAGTATACATTTTACCCTTCTTGGAAAATTGACAAAAAGACTATTTGAGAACATGTACAGATATAACATTTTCATTCTCTTGGTAAAATGGTAAATGGTCACATTTTTCTATAGCGCTTTTCCACCTTCAAGGCACTCAAAGCGCTTTACAAAAAGGAACCATTCACCCATTCACACACACATTCACACACCAGTGTACGCAGACACTGTGGGCAAGGTGGGTTAAGTGTCCTGCCCAAGGACACAACGACAGCATTCATCTGTGGGAGCTGGAATCACACCAGCCAACCTGTGGGTTAGTGGATCTGACCGCTCAACCTGTGATGTTTATGTTGAGAGCTGGATTCGAACCACCAACCTTCAGATCAGTGGGCGAATGCTCTACCAACTCAATCAAGGTTTAGTAATACAAAAACTGTGGGAAGAAACATCACAATTTCATGATTATTCACAATTACTGACACATAACAAAACAAAAGCAAAATCCTTGATTTTTCTTTTGTTCTTATAAATTACCATTCCTCTATTATTTGGCAATGGCAAACATGAAATCAATTCTTAATACAAAAGCAAAGTTATTGTGATATAAAGGCCACATAAAATGCATAATACATTTAGGGTTCTGTTTTTGGAGTAGTGACTTAACTGAAATAACTTGATGTTTCCTCTAAAATAGTCACGATTATAATATTTTATTCATTATGATTATGTTGTGATCTGAATAATTATGATTATCGATTAAACTATAATCTTGACATCCCTAGGCCTACTTGACTCCTTTTTCCTCATTTGGTAAACATAGCCTTAAGTGAATATTACTGAACCATATATTAACTGCAGATGCCAATGGGGTGGTTATTGACGACTGACTGGTCTGCTTCCCGGTGGCCTTTTCTATTTCATGGTCATTACACTGATGTCTGCAGTAAACACTCATCCAGTGATTTATTGATAGCAAGGGGTCATGGAGGTTGTTTTTGTCCTTTTGACCCTTCCTGAAAGTTTGCCTTGGGTCTTCCAAATGATCTTATCTGACTGGTTTCAAGAATGCATTATTGTTTTCAATGATAAATTATGAATCTCAAAGTCTGACTCAAAGTGGGACTCAGTGGGTTATTAAGTCATTGGACTCCCTGCAAGGTTGTGTCGGTAGGGCATCTAGTAGAGTTCAAAGCTAGGTTCAAACTGTTCCATTTGAAGAGAAATGCAAGCTTAGATTCGATCTTTGTTTATTAAAAGCAGGATTTCGCTGAGGATAATCATTTAAACTTGCCCTAGACTATTCGTACTTGAGAAAAGCATCGTCATATTTACAGCTATTCAAATTTTAATGCACTTGTGATAATCAACCAGCACCAATAGACAAACTAAAGATGCACCAATACAGTTTTTTCAGTTTTGATACTATAGCTTTAAGTATCTGTTAATATATGATGCCAGTGCAGAGACTGAAAACACATTTCCTTTAAGCAAAATAAAATAAGACAACACTGATCCAAATGTGTTATTTATCTCTCAACTCTCACATTTTTTATTATTGATTTATATGCCCAGCCAGTATGTATCAGCTAAAGCGATATTTGAAAGTCTATACCCAACAAAATTTTCAGTATGAGTGCAGATTTTCGATAATGGTATTGGATCGGTGCATCCCTAAGGCAAACACTACAGTGTCCGCCTCATCATATACACAAATTAATAGCAGCAACATGAAAAATCCAACATTCTGAAATTTCTTCGTCCAAAGTCTTAACTCTGCTCCAAACCACATGCTTTTGCTGACAGAGGATTGGCTGTAGTCCTCTTGATAAAAATGACCCAAGTTGATCATTGACGATTAGAAAAGACTGAATCTAGATTAAAATTTGATCAGTTGCACAGATCTAACCATGTTGAGTAATATAGCGTGCCATTTGACTAGAAACCATCCCCACTCAGCTGTTTATGCCAGAAGTGACTCAGAGATGCGTTAACCTGATGGAGCTCGTATTTTCACCCGCAGAGGCAGTAAAACCCACTCCACACGACATATCGGGCTGTTACCGACGGCAACAGCCACAGCAGTCAGTGTCATCTCCATAACCACTGGTCCAGCTGCAAACGTCAGCTTCATACAGTCATAAATATGCTCCTCTCACCCGGGAACAAGAAATCTGTAAAATGCCAAGAACTTCACTTATGACATTTGAAATAAAACAGTTGTGATGTACAAACTGTCCAATGACGTCCTAAAAACTGGGAATGACGTACAACTCTAAGAAATGAAAAGAGGTGTGAAAAGTCAAAAACTAAGTCAATGGAGTTGCAGTTATGAAAGCAATAGAACTGTTATATAGCCTTTGTTTTAGACTACATATTAGAGATGTATCCAGGTTTTTCTGTTCCAATATGGATGCCAATACTTTGGCTTCAAGTATCTACTGATACCTGATATCAACCAGAGACTGAAAACCTAATTTATTTCTTTTAAACACAAATGGCATTTGTAACTGCAGAACAGACTTGTAGAAATACAAGTTTAATATTGTGATATATTTTGGGCCAATATCGGCCTGTAAATAATCTTATTACACCAGTTTGTAGCCCTGGTATATTGGCTGAACTGATTGGAATATCTGATCCACCAAAATGTTCAATATCAGCTCAGAAATCGGTGCATCCCTGCTACACACAGGGGTCGAATAACGTTTTTTCTTATTCTCAGTATACTGGCCGGCCATGCCTCATGTGAAAGTTCAAAACCTCCAGAATTCCCTCCCTGAGCTGCAGAGGCTGCACTAGCACTGAGTCAGGATTGTCTGCAGGTGCTGGGGTTTAGGTAGTGACCATTCAGATCAGAGAGAGTCCCTTTGAGGTTTAAACCAGCTAGTCATGTCCAGTGTTCTGATAATCAATAATAAATCTGTATTACATTTTTCATCAGTAAAAGCTGTATTTGATTTTTAACATGTCTACCTTATATCTAAGGAAATATCTATCTTATCTATCTATCTTATATCTAAGGAAACAGATAGGTCACGATTAAGACATATTAAATCTAAATTCACATACTGTCCCTTTAAGAAATATTTGTAAAAAGCATCTTCCTGTGAAACCACGGCTTGGATCAAGTTAAGTCTAAGTAGTGAGGCTTGCTTTTTGCATTAGCCAACTCCAATACATTTGTCTGCAATGTCTTAATGGAGAGTGAGACACACTTAACTGTAACCATAGACAGATATATGACCAAAGGGTTTAACAAAACACAGCCCACTTTCAACATTATCTTGTGTTCATTCAGTCTTGAGATTTCACAAACTGCATAACCATGTAACCGTCAGAGATAAAGCCAGCTGTATTCATTCAGTCCAAGGAGTGTACAGAACACATAATGAATGGGTGGTCCACTTTCCTCCTATCTCTTCAAATTACACAGCATGCCCACACAGCCACTCTGTGACACGATTACATCTAAAAACTATTGTACTCAAGGCAGTTCTTTAGCCTAAACCAGCATCAGTGGTGGAATGTGACTAAAACTAAAAGTAGTGTACTTAAAGGTGTATTGTGTAACTTTTCTGTTACATACCGTCAAGTGCTTTTTTCCATGGAGACGTTATTGTGTCTTGAATGTTTCACAGTATGGTATTACACCTTTCTGTTATTATGGAGACCAAACCAGACCATGTTAGGGGTCAGCTCTGTGGAGAGACAATGATGCTCACAGTCAAAATGCTTGTTTTTCAAGGTACTGTTTAGCTATAAAGTCACCTGTAATGTAATAAATGTAAGGTAGATCTGTTTAATGTTATACTGTGGAACATTAAGTAGATTTTTTGTGATACTTCTACTTTTACTTGAGTTGATTTTTATTGGTTTTGCTCCAGTATCTGTTTTTTTACTTAAGTAAAAGTAAAATTGAGTATAGGTTACTTCTTCCATCACTGACCCACAAACAGATCCCAAAGGGAACAGCTACTGCAGTCCACTTATACTTTTTGTGCATATATGGTCATCCTACTTGATTATGTCACAGACATAATCACATGACATAATTTCATTTTTTCAATTATTGTTCACATTTGATGGACAGCTGTGCCTTGTTGAGCTTCATGTTAACTTGTACCTACAGTGGATGAGGACCAGACTGTAGGGTCAAAGGTCAAGAAGGGTTCAAGCCTTTGATCATGCGGCGATATCCAAAGCAGCCACTAATGGAACGAGTCTGGGAAGATTCAGACTGACAAGAGACAGATAAATACACTATGCTGAGGTCACAGAGGCAGCACCGTAAGGTTTTTCTATTAACTCATTATACAAAAATTTTTTAGATGTTACTGAACTAGATTTCGCTACTAAGGAAAAGCCTTGATATTCAGTACCAATTTTCAACACCATAATTATAATTGAGATTAAAAGGCTTCTTATTGTGCGTTTTTTGGATCCATGTTATGTTGTTTCCTCATCAAAAATATACCTAGAGCTGTAATTTGTTTCATTCACACACATTTAAATCACTCAAACAAAAAAAACTGTGTTTTGAAACTATGTATCTTCATCATTTAGATGATTTTAGCCCTGAAATCAACAAGGTGGAACAGAGCATTTTGAGGTTTGGAAATGTAATAATAAAGGGTTACTCAAAGATCAGTGAATGAAACAAAACACAACTCCAGGTATGTTTTTTTTAATGAGGAAACATGATTAAAACATAGATCAGAAAATAACATAAGTTTACTTATAACTTTAAGTAGCTCCCCATGAAAAAACAAGCTTTACACTGGGTAATACTTGACGTGTATTGGTTGTTGTGGGCCACTTTGACCCACAGTGGCCTGTACTCTGTCCTAAATTTTTCTCTGTTAACCTCTGCCTCACCTTTTCACCTTTCAACCTACCCCTAATGAACTGAGAGCATTTTGCAAAAATACAAGGTGAGTTCGCTTGTTAGATTCACCATAGCAAGGTCCTGTATTACACAAGTTGACTCTTGTGAGCTTTAAGTCATGTTGGAACATTGTTCCTCATCAAAAACATACCTGCAGTTGTGTATTGTTTCATTCACACGTTAGAGTAACTCTGGTGGTTTATTTGTCTGTTTACATCCCCAAAGCTTAAAATGCTCTCTTCCACCTTGTGATGTCATGTAGTGGTTCAAATTAACAGCTACCTTTTTACCTTTTGCTCAGTAGAGATTGACAGTTCCAGGGCTGAAATCATCCAAATGATTCTAGTGAATCACATCACAAGGTGGAACAGAGTATTCTCTGCTTGAGAGAAAAATGCATCCTAAATATGCAAGATGTGTGTGTTAAACATGTGTGAAAAAAAACAAAAAAACACAATCTCATTTATATCTGTGATTAAGATACAACATTATAACTTCGATCAGAAAATAGTGAAATATGGGCCCTTTAAAATTGTCACTTAAAATCAGGTTTTTGACATGCCAAGAATGATGCTAATAATAACATGTAGGGCAAGACTTGTGCGGTTGTGAATATATTAAAGTGAAAAACACACCATTGTGTGTTATAGCAATTACACAGCAAACTTAGCTCACATAAACAGCTGCTACATTTCTTGAATACGGTCATAAAATCCAACCAAGGAAATGGACTGGTACTTTAAACTTTGCAGGGACAGCACACATCCTGGGCACACCCTGATTTAACCACTCACAAATGGGACAGGGCAGTAGATTACGCACAAATAGAAAAATACCACAACATTACAGTATGTCCTTTCTAGCCATGCAACACTTTTGAAAATGTGTTGCTAGGGGCAGAGAGGGGCACTGCTTGAGATCTGAAAAATGAAGTAAAAATATCACTACTGGGCAACGATATAACAAAAACATATTTAAAAATGTTATTTTGTGCTCAGTTATCCCAGCAGGAAATCAAGAGAAGAGAATAGGGATAAGATAGAGGAACAGGCCCGAGGCAGGCACCAAATTCAGGCCACTAAGGTTTAGTTATTGGGAAAAGATAAAGTTATACACTCCAAATGGCAAAGAATACAGACTTTTATGTGGTCTATTGGTAGCAGAGGTGGGTAAAGTAGCCCAAAATTGTACTTCAAGTAAGAATAACATTAGGTCAAAATAATATTTAAAATAATATCAACACAAAAATTACTTAGGACAAAAAATTTTTAATGTATTTGAGAAAACGGCTACTCAAGTAAGAGTAACTTAAAGAATAACTGTCAGCAAACTACATTTAATTTATAATTTGAATTTCATGTAAAATAAAGCATAACATGTACTATTTTCAAAGAACAGACATAAAAATTTGAAAAAATAAACTCTTATCTTAAGGAGCAGCACAGGAAACCCAAATCTTGAAATCATTTCATATTGTCAACATAAAGCTTTTGTCACTTGCAGACTTACCGGTACTCACAGTGGGAAAAGTGACCAAAACTTTTACTCAAGTAAGAGTACTGCTACTTAATTATTTTTTTTTACCAAAGTAGGAGTAAAACGTTGCTGGAAAAGTAGCCTACTCTTAATATTACAGTTTCCTGAAGTTTAAGAGTAAATGTAAAGGACTACTAATCACGTCTGATTGGCAGTTTAGATCAAAGTTTAGTTTTGTAGCTGTAACTGACATACTATTCATTTATATTAGATTATTATTGGTATAGGACTCTATAGAAATATCTCTATTTTGAGACAAATAACCCTTGACTCCCACAATACATTATTTTATCACAAATTCACAGTTACTATCTTAAAAAATTTTCTGGTTGGGTCTGCTATTATCGCCATGCAGAGGTTACTGAATTGTCTGGAATGTTTCACCATATGGCATTAAATATATCTATCCTGCATTAATTCAGTTCCTTTTTTTATTTCCAACATTCCAGGCAAAGCAATTATATCTCCACTGATGACAGAGCCTCCACCAGAACACTTTCATTAGTGCACTCACCTGTAACAGCGGATATACAGTACTGCATTTAGGCATAAGAGTAAGTTCTGTCCCTTTGTATTATGATATAAATACACATTGTGAGCAATACGAAAATACACACATCATTATAAATTCACTAGGAGTCAAACATTCACCATTTAGGTTAAGTCATTTAGAGATGGGATTCTGAGTGCTTCATGTGACTTCTGGGTTTGTTTCCTTCTTCACCTATAGGCAATACAGACCACCACTGTAGCTCAAACTCTGGTGTTGGGTTCCTGGTCACCAACTGCTTCTGATAGGTAGCTCGCTTGGATGATGAGTGGGTCAAATGCAGAAGATAATTTTTCCAAGTCTACAAGCCTGCAAAAAAATTATAAAAACCAAACAAAATTCTTCAAGAGTATAGTAATAGTATGTCACATTTACTTAAAAGGTGCATTATGTAACTGTTTGGTTGGGGGTCAGTCACCTGTTTGCTTTTACAAATATGCCTGGAATATTTCGCACTATGACATTAAAGAACTCCACCTTACATCTATTAAATCACAGGCAGTTTTATAGCTCAAAAATACATAGAAAAACAGGCATTCTGACTGTGAACGAGATTGCCTCTCCACAGTTCTGACCTGTAACTTGGTTTGGTCTTCATGAAGATAGAAAGGTTTACCATACTGTGAAACATTCTACACAAAGCAATGACATCTCCACAGAGGCAGCCCTCCACCAGAAAAGTTATACAGTACACTTTTCATACTGAAAGTTTATGATAGTGGATTTTACTTTAGGCGATGGCATCAATAAATATGAAAATTCATCAAATTATTATGTAAAACATTTTGTATCAAAACATCCCTACACAGGCATGACTTGGATTTCAGAATGGACTCAGCCAACTTGGTGCCATGTAGTTTTAAAGATCTCTAAGCTGCTTTTCATATACAGTAGATTGAAATCACTTCCGCTGCAAAGCTCACAGCATGCCCATACTGCTGTAGGTGTTTTTATGTCCCTCCACACAACATGGGCTCTATCAGTCTCTCTGCACCACATTGTTAAGAGGTCTATGAAACAGCAGGCCCATGTTGCACTCAGCCTCCTCCTGGCAATTACAATGTTATATTTCCTATTCATTGCAGGAAATCGACAAATCTGGCAACAAAGGGAACTGTGTTGAGGTAATATGCATAGAGAGTCATGCTGTTATAAGGACAGCTGCAGACGGAGCACTAAATCTGATACCGGCAAGCATAGGACCTGGTTTAAAATGGCTATAAAATGCTTCCTAAAGGGATTCAGTGTTAGCATGGAGGTGGCGAGAAAACGTGACAAGAAACTATATACTGACAAAGCACAAGGGGATTTGCATTGTCATAAACTTAGCTTTACAACAGAAAAACAGCAAAAAGTGATTATTTTTTCACCTAAATCCGGATAAAAATGTGCCTATAGCCAATAATAAAGCTTAGAATAATAAAGTTAACAACAGTTCACACAATGTATTAATCCCATGCTAATTGAAGGCTAAGAAGCTAAGACTGCAGAGTGAGGGATTAAGGCACATAAGAAAGGCAGTAAACACCAGCAGCTGTTAAATGTTATTAGAAAATATGCTCGCGCCTGCAACTTCTCCTTGTCAACACACAATTACTACAAATTAATTTATTTTGTGCATATGGGGCCAATGTGGCAACTTCAAAGGTTTAAAGCAATAACAGTCAGATGTTAGCAATTAATCATCATAATATAATAAGTCAAGTCATCATTTATCAAGTCTAAATTCAGATGCACCAATTTCACCATCCGTAGGCTAATTAAAAAAGCAGGTTTTAGCTTGTTAATATGATTCATTACAATTTATGTGGAGTATACACATCCAGGAAGATATTGTGTTGGTAAAAATAGGCTAATACGCTCAAGCATTTGAAGTATATGAAGTGTAGCCTAAAACAGAAAAGAGCTCTTGTTTCCTCTTCACAAACATACCGGGAATAGTGAGTGAGTTCTTCTCTTAAACAGAAAACACTCTGTTCCACCTTGTGATGTCATGTGGTAGTGCAGAAAGTGCTTAACTGTGTTTTTAAATTCCATATACCTTCAATAGAATCATTTGGATAATTTCAGCTCTGGAACTGCCAAATCTCTACTGAATAAAAGGTAAAAACTTGAAAACTACTACTTTGTGACATCACAAGGTGGAACAGAGCATTTTGACCTTTGGAGATGTAGGTGGACTAAGAATAAAGGATTACGCAAACATGTGTGAATGAAACAAAACACATTTCCAGGTATTTTTTCGGGAACAACACCACATGGCTTAAAAGCTCACAAGAATCCATTTTGCTCATCACTGGTGGTTGACAGTTACTTTGGTGTAGCCAGAAATGCCCTGGGGTAGACTGACAGAAGCAAGGCTGTAAATCTATGCCATTAGTAACTCACGCAGACACATATTCATCATACACACAAAAAGTGCATTATTATTCTACAAAAAACCCAAGTATCATTGGAAAGTACATTAGTGGTGCAAAACAACTTAAATCCCTAAATTCATTACTAAAGGATTTTAACACTCATAGCTTATTAGGTTTATGTGTCTTGGTGTGTGAGGTGAACAAAGGCAAGGTAGGTGAAGTGTCTTGCTCAAGGACAACACCAGCAGACAGCATGTTCAGAGCAGGGATTGAACTGCAGAACAAAATGCACTATGTAATTTTTGGTTTGGAGTCCATCACCTGCTTGTTTCTACGGATATGTAATTGCTCTGTCAAGAATGTTCCACAATATGATTTTAAACACCTCTACCTTACATTTATTCTTTTTTTTTTTGCTCAAAAATATCTAGAAAAACAGGCATTCTGACTGTGAGCAGGGTTGTTCCAGAGATCTGACCTGTAACTTGGTCTGGTCTCCACGAAGAGATTAATATTATACTGTGAAACATTGCAGACAAAGCATAAACATCTCCATGGAGAAAAGCGTTTTCACAGATCTTCTACCAGAACAATTACAGAATGCACCTTTAATGCCAGTAGATAACAAAATGTGCCTACCAAGCCCTCTTGAAAGCTTGTAGTAAAAAGGAGCTATAAGTAAGTTTGTTGTAAATTAAAATTACATTATTTCATGAAAAAAATCATCTCAAAAATATTGGCAGAGTTTATCAGCCATCAACTACTCTTGATTCTGAACAATTAATATCGACATTGGCCATGAAAAAAATGTATCGGTCGATCTCTAATTTGAAGATAAAAGCATGAGGTTGGATCGATTTACTGTCTTCATACAGTAGCAGCCTATGACAATAAAGTTTTTCTAGAGCCCATCAATTAAAGATGCACTGCGTAACTTTTTTGGACGGGGTCCGCAACATGTTTATCTCCATGGTGATGTTAATGCTTTGGTTTAAATTGTCCAAAGTACGGTATTAAACTAATCTGTCTCGCATTTATTCAACTACAGATATTATCTTAAAAAAAATAAATTAATAAAAAATAGGGGTGAAACAATATCAAATTCTCACAATACGATATCGTCACGGTATGAACCTCATGGTACGATAATTATTGCGATATCGTGGGAAAGTTCATGATATGGTGGGGAGGCTCACGATATCCAAACCTCTTGGTATAATATTTTCACGATATACATCTCACAGTATATTTATTGCGATATTTTGTGGAGGTTAACACAACAGTTAATTTCCTACTTTTTCCTCTTAAAATGTCTTGACAAGACTTAATCCACAGAACTAAGACTTAAAAGTGCTTAGAACTGTTATTTTTTCATTTAGTCTACACTGAAATGGAGCAAAGGATCATGGTCTATGTAGTTTTCTCTGTCTTTTTCTAAGCTATTGCTGCACCATAGCTCTTAATTTAAGCAAAAAAGCTTGTAATTCGATATACTGTGATGGTCCACGATATTATTGTGAGAACACTGACGATGAGATATCACAATATTTCGGTTAATGTTACATCCCTACTGTCCACACATCTCACCTGTAATTTGACTTGCAGTGCTGTGGAACATTCTAGGCACATCTCCATGGAGACAAGCAGATGACGGACCCTCCTGCAGACAAGTTACACAGTGCACCTTTAAGTCCCCAATTAGCTAAGTCTCTGTCTGAGGTTCTGTGTGTCCAACGCCAAAAACATGTCCTGCGTCAAAAACATGTCATATCATATTGAGGTGTGTGTTTTGTGCAGGTTGTTTAATTGATATTTGTTGCTATTTTCAGTCGTTAGTCTAATGGAGCACACATTCCCAGCATGACCTCACTGTCTCTCGCTTTAAGCCTGTCTGAATGAGGGGCTAAAAGCAGGGCTGCTAAATACACCGTAAAACCATGAGTAAAACATAGTTAGGTTTGGCGTGGCCCGTCCCATGGTTTCTCCCCAGCGCTGCAGAGGAGGAAAAGAACAAAAACAGCGTAAGCCAATTATCCAGATGGGAGAATTCATTAACCAGAAGAGCACTGTGGTCACTGTGTACAGTTGTGAAGCGGGTTGGGCCCTTACAAACTCTGCTACGCTGCTACTCTAAACTGACAGAAACTTGAAATGATACGCTTTTAATTTACACCATTTCTTACAATCTACATATGCAATGATGTCTTACCGTAGTGGGCCAAACATTTTTGTGAATCTTGCGCTGTAGAAATGAATAAATCAACTCTTTCAGACTGGAGATTGAGAGAAGCGACAAGTGGAGGCACTGCTATTTGATCACACAGCGCCAACCCGTGGCTACTATGAGAATAGATATTGGATAAAAACTTTGGACATGGCGCCATCTACTGGAAAATATGAAACATGACATTGACATTTTATGTACTCAAAGCTTTTTTTTAATCTTTACATTCAAGTTGTATTCATTCATTTGTTTTTTTTGTATTACTAATACCACATTGAAGTCTATAATTTGCTGTTGTATGCCCTGATTATTGTTTTGGTACATATATCTTCAGTTCTTCAAATCCACCTGTTGTGGCTTAAACTAACTTTATTTTGTGTTTTGGTGCACAAACAATAAAGTATTCTGATTCATACTGTATACAGGACACGCTCATGAGGTGATTTAGATTACTATGCTTAGAAGCCTTATAACAAAAAATGTAGCTCTTCTTTGCTTTTTCCACTATGAAACATACTTAACAACAGTGAAGTTTGTGTGTGAGCATGTGCTGTTACACTCATAGGTTTATATAGAGAATTCATGTAATTAAGTCTTGTGTTAGTGATCTGAAATATCAGATAATTAAGTTAACCCAAGTCAAGTAAAATGTATGTATAAAGCACATTTTAAAACAACCAAGGAAGCAAAGGTAATGTAAAGTGCAAAAACAAAAACACAATAAAACAATAAAATACAAATGTTCCGACTCAGCTTGTGTTAAAAGACTGATACAAGTAGCCTGCATGTCCCAATATAGACCTGTTCTGTAATTGTCTAAAAATACTTTGAGTAAGTTCAGTTCTTTGAAGGGCACTTGAGTTCAGCATCTTCCAGAACGCAGGACTTGGAGCTCTGTGTGGATTATGTAAGACAGCAAAAGAAAACAACATTGTACAAAGTGAAGCGTGCCGCAGACAACGACCAGAGACTGTCAAACACATTTTGGATGAGTGAGTTTGTGAGAGAGAGAGAGAGAGAGAGAGAGAGAGAGAGAGAGAGAGAGAGAGAGAGAGAGAGAGAGAGAGAGAGAGAGAGAGAGAGAGAGAGAGAGGAGAGAGAGAGAGGAGGGGGGGATAGCAGGAGAGCATTGCATAACCTGTAGAGGAGACAGAGCCCATGTGGTTTCATGTACATCTCCCACACTGTGAAGCTGTTGGGACATACTTCTGAATGGACTTCACTTCTGTTGATCTCCTCCATTGATACTGTTTATTACATATCTGTGAAATATTTCCAGCGATCTTAACAGAGTGTATCATGTGGTGAAAGTTTAGTCACAAAATGTGTCAATGGTATGTTAGAGCATTTGAAAATATAATATTATATTCAAGTTAAAGAAAAGCATGCATATATTATAAGTGTATATTTTTAAATTTTACTTCTCTACATTTGAGTGCAGGTACCTGTACTTTCTACTCCAAGTTGTTTTTGAACAGGGCTGAAAAGTAAATGTATTTTTATTTTAGTTTAAGACCTATTAAAAAGGCTCAGGGTTTATTTTGATCAAGTTTATTGTTTGAGCAAACAAAAATATACAGCTAGAAAAAAACGATAGATTCAATTGTTTCTGTTGAGCATAATTCAGCACAATTCTTTATCAAAATCACTACATTTGAAGCTTTATTGGATCTCAAAATATTTGCAAAATTCTTCTTATTCTTTAAGTCAATCTTTAAATCTGTACTTTAATACTTTTACTACTTTTTAATAGTAGCTTTTTTTCATGTGATACTTTAACTTTATTATTTTTTGCTCCGGTATCTGTACTTTTACTTAAGTAACACACCTGAGTACTTCTTTATCAAAAATCAAAAGGATCAAAAAGTAATCTTGATAGTGTTAACCATAGGCCAACATTAACCATTTACCATTTAACTGTTTTGTGAAGAAAAAAATACATTAGTTACTGTTGAAAAATATTAGTAGTATTCATGTGTTCCTGCTTCCTCTTATATGATGCTATTTTGAGAACAGTTGTCCATTCAAAAGCTCTTATATTTTGTTTTTAATTGTAAATCGTGGTGGCTACAGCGCTAATTTTTCAGCATATTGAAACCCATGGAGTTAGAGGTGAAGTAATGGAGTAAGAAAAAATGGATTACAACCTAACTACTCTGTCACTGTGGAAACACTCCTATACTTAAAAATGCCAGTGATTTTCCATCTCCATGGAGATGCACGTCACTCTGTTCATGTCAGTGTACGTGTGTGAGGAGTGCCATTAAACATCAGCCTAAACACTCCATAGCGCAAGACCTCTTTTCAAAGCATACATGAGTTTGTCTGGTGTCCAACTTTTATCTTTACAGTACATTCAAACAAAAGGTAACAGCCACCTTTTACCTTTTGTTCAGTAGAGATTTGCAATATCAGGGCTGAAATTATACAAATGATTCTAGTGAAGGTCTGTGGAGTCACAAAGTGGAGTGTTTTCTGTTTAAGAAAAACATATGTGAATGAAACACACTGATGAAGAAAAAACCTTATAACCAAATAACCCTATAACTTTACCAAAATATAAATTCAGTACCTCTTTTATAGTGTATTATAATGTATTTTCCTATAGTACATTATATTAAGGGGCTTAAAAATAAACAAACAGATTTTTTGGACATTAGGTGAAGAGACATCAAGTCAACACTATGAAAGAGGACATAGGCATACTAAAAGCATAATTTACATAGACCTACCAATATTTGTGGTTCATTTTGTATTGGAAAAATTTAAAACTGCATTATGTCACGTTTTGGTGAAGGGTCCGCCATCTGCTTGTTTTCATGGGGCAGTTATTGCTTTGCATTTACATTATACAGTATAGAAATAAACATGGTTATCACAATGGAGACAAGTTACTGGTCAAATCTATGGAGAAGAAAAAATTGCACATAGTAAGAATACTTTTTTTTTTTCAATGTATTTTTGAGCTATAAAACAACTGTAATCCATGGCCTTCCACCTTAGAAGTTACACAGTGCACTGTGAAATAAAATAAGTTGTATTGGCATATTCTAGCTGAGGTGTTCATAAATTGTGTTTGAAGACTACAGTGTATCCATGCACCTCCTCCACTGTCCCTGTGAGGATAAAACAGATCTCTCTCTCTCAAAGCACTCATCACAGTAACACTTAAAGCTCTGAATAACTTTCCAGGAACTGTCCCATTGACGTTTTACTGGCAGCATGCTAACACTAACGCCAGGTTTACAAAGCAGATCAGAGCAGCTACAAGTTCACAATGCATAATATGTGGTAGGGATAGCAATAGACTGCAGTTTCCATGGAAGAGTAAAATTTGAGTCCAAATTTAATCATCAAATTATAACGTTTCTGGGGAAATATGACGCCATGCTTGGGTTATTCCAAGAAATGGGTCTGATATTAAGAGGTCCATGATGTCGAACAAAGATTTCAACATGTTCAGTGGTAACATAAAATGCCTGTTGAAATTACCATAAAATTAGTCAAATATTTGTTATGCAAAGAGAACACAATATTAAGGGGAAAAAATGTATTATTGTAGTTTTTGACCAATTACTGATCATTTACATTTATAGTTCCTATTAAATTATTTACAAATTTTGCACAACAGTCTAGTCCTCTACTTGAGGTAGTCTGGTCTAGATCTGGAGGTGGTGCTCCAGGCGCTGCACTCTGGTTAGATACATTAAGTGTACCTTAAAAAGCCCATATTAGGCTATTTTCAATTTTTCTATTGTCCTTTTTTTTTCGATAGTCCTTCTCTCAAATAGAAAACACTCTCATGTTGTCATGTCATGTGTTAATACAGGAAGTGCTCCACTTTTTAAAATCCATACCCCTGAATTCACGAGAATCATTTAATTTCAGCCCTGTAATTGCCAATTTCTACTGAACTAAAGGTAAAAGGTAGCTGTTAACTTGAAGACTACAGCTTCATGACATCACAAAGTGGAACAGAGTTTTGTGCCTTGGAGATCTAAACAGACCAGGACAAAACAGGATTACTCAGACATGTGTGAATGAAATAAATCACAACTCTAGATATGTTTTTGATGACATAACAGCATTACAACATGCCTAAAAGATCACAAGAATCAGTTTTGAGTAATACAGGAAATTTGAAGTGTGGGATGGGGGTTTGCTACCAACTTATCAGCATTGAGTTTGTTAGCTCCATTGTATATCCATTCAGTTGCAGATCTTTTTATGGCTGAAAAGCACAGTCAGTTAATTAAAGCTCTCTCCTAAAACATGGCCCTCTTGTTTAATACCATACCATGAGGAACACTACAGGCAAAGCAACAACAGGCAGATGGCAGACCCTTCAACAAAAAAGTTTCATAGTGCACCATTAACCTAACCTTATTCAGTTTTCTTTTGCCATAAATGTTTCAGTGAGATACAGTCACATTCAGACTGTACTGTTCTTTTACATGCACTCCAATATATGGAAAACAGGACCATAAAGCACTGGTGAGTTTTAGGATGACCTCCAGACGATCTGTCACTGAAGGGGGATATGAGCTGTAACTCTGAACTCATTACTGTTATAGAGAAATTCACTGGTCTCTTGTAAAAAACTATATGCAACTTGAGCCAGAAAAAGAGTGAACACAACATTTCTCAGGGATATTTCATAACTGCATATGGTAGTTTTTATTGTTTTTATTTCACACGTGTGCCCAGGAATAGAGACAGGATACACATGTTTAAGTGAAGCAATAAAATCAGACAAATAAAGTAATATGCCTTTGCCAATGCTGCAACAGATAACAATTATAATATTTTTTAAAGACACATTGTGTAACTTTTTTGTTGGAGGTCCGTCACCTGCTTGTTTCTATGGATAAGTTACATTTATGAAATTATAGGTGTTTTTTATAGCTCAAAAATACCTTAAAAAGGGGCGTTGCCTCTCCACAGATCTGACCTAAAACATTCCAGGCAAAGTGATAACATCTCCATGAAGAAAAGCAGTTGATGGACCGTCCACCACAAAAGTTACACAATGCACCTTTAAACTACAAAAGTGCACTATGTTAGACACATTGAAGGCATGTATTCATTATGTGAAGACATAATATACTGACATAATATATTAGTTATACATTATTTTAATAGTCTATTGAAAGTGGTCAAGTGGTTCACAATTAACATTTTAGTGCACAAAAATATATTAAACACTTAAACACAATAATGATGAAGGCAAAAAAAAATAAAATAAAAAATAAAATAATTAACATGTCAATTGACTCTGTCCTTCAGAACATTTGAAATTTTCTAGACAAGTTAGCAACATTTTTTCTAATCACAAAATCTGGCACAGATAATTATAGACGTTGAAATGTTCTTACTTCTCACTTCTAATAAGGCAGTCAATTATTAATATTCAAACTTCATTCAAAAATCACTTGTAAGGCAACATCCAACAAAAAAAAACATAATGCTCTTAATAAGACACAAGTTTAGTTTGACCCAATGGAAATCAACATACTTCAACAGATCAAAAGTGCAAAAGAGTAACAATAACATAGTAAAGAGGAATTACATACACATCACAAAAATGTAAACAAAAGACAAGCTTATGTTTTTGCCCACGACAACAAACACCAATCAATGCCAGGAAAATAAGGAATGTAGAGTAAGTTAGTGGTGCACTTTAATATAAGGTTAGTGCTAGGTAGTACGCTCCGCAGGGACAGGAGTGAAGACATAGTTCCGGTTGCAGTAATATGTAAACTTCTGTTGCTATGAAACATGCCTAAACCTTTTTATTTTTTTGATAAGGCTAGCAGGTGGCAAAGTTGTTGATTACTATCATTGCTTATAAGATGCAAAAATTTACCTTTAAAGCAACAGAGCTGAACTTTTTGAAGGTGGCACCTTCTTTTTCATGGCCAATGCTGACTGTTTAAAGTCCAGAGAAACCAACAGTCAATAAACTGTCAATATTTTTGAGGCGATATGTGGGGCCAATTTTAATTATTTTTCTCAAATTATGGTATTTAAATTTACAACAAACGCACCCACAGCCCCTTTTTACCACAATCCTTTAATAACGCTGCGTAGTCTCACTCTGTGCAGTTATGTCTTTGTATTAAAATAAAGTTTTGTGTGTATTTTAGGCAGCAAACCAAAATAAAATATCGGCATGTGCTGAAGATTTAAGGCCAATAGCCGATATAGTAAAAAAAAAATCTCAATATCACAAAGAAAATACACATATATTGGACAAAATCTGACCAAAACCCTGCCTGTTTATCATACCTGATGAAAAATATGTGAAGAATTCATGTACAAATTCTAAGCAATATTATGCTATTTAAAATGTGCACTCAACAGACTGACTTTAAGACGCAACATTAAAAAAAAAATCATAATGGCACATTTTCACTTCATTTTAATGACTAAAAAAGTGGAACATATTGGCAGATTGTTGGCATTTCAATGGTTTGTTTAAACAATAACCCTAAGAGAGATATTATTAGTGCAGATATGTAGTGAAAAGATAAACCATAACTTCCTTACTTCACAGTGGATATAAGAGACTACATGAAAAAATACAAGAGATTTCTAATAGAGACAATCCTTCAGGTAGGCTTGGATTAGGGAATTATGGATCTTGTTATAGATCATGAGCATCTTGTACTGAGTTGGGAGACTGTGAGTTTATGGCAAAGAAAAGAAAAGAAAAAGAGCGTTATTCCAACAGCAATGTGCAGATATTTCGTAAAGAACGGAAACAAATGTTGAGCCCACAGATTTACGTAACAGGTGTGTAGACTCAGAAAGGACCATCTGAAGTTAGTTGCTACAGTTTGATAAATAGGAAGTGGTCCGAGAGGAGGAGAGGACATCAAACACGAAACAGGCACTGCCATGTAATCAAAGCTGCAGTAGGTTTGTGTGTTCAAATTGGAGTCAGATTTGAAAATGGGGCAGACCTGCACACACCGAATACACTCACCCACATTCTTAAAGAGAGGCTGAATAAGTTAAACAAGACTGATCCTCTGTTTAGGCCTGGATTTTCTCTGGGACTTTAGACAGACTCTGCAAAAGGCTTCTTTGAAAATCCTCCTCAGATGTTTCAGGAACAAGGTACTCCAAAAGCAGGTCAAATATACAGTAAACCAGGTGTCTATAAGCAGAAATATCGTAAGTTATGGTAAATCTCACTTATGCCTAAATATAAGAGTTAAAATGATCTGTACTTCTACGTACATTACAAGAGCATGTAATAATAATAATAATGGCACCTGTTAATGTATGGATCCTGTAGAGAGTCTAGTGCATTTTGCCAGCTGAGCTTATACTTGTCCGATCCCAGCATATCAGAAATCAGATCTGCAAACAAATGGTTTAGTTACATACACAAAATTGCTACAAAATTGACACCTGTGAGCTTTAAGCCATGATATACTGCTGTTACCTCCTCAAAAACTGACCTGAATTGTGTTTTGTTTCATTCACACATGTTTGAGTAATCCTTTACTATGTCTTTATCTCCAAAGCTCAAAATGCTGTTTTACCTTGTGATGGCTTGTAGTGGTAGTTTTCATGTTAACACCAACCTTTTACCTTTAGGCTGAAATCATCCAAATGATTCTAGTGAAGGTGTATGGAGTTTAAAAAGTGGAGTACTTCCTGACCTGTACCACCAGATGACATCACATGCAGGAACAGAGTGTTTTCTGTTATGTAGGCTTTGTGTGTAAAACATGTGTGAATGAAACAAAATACAACTCCTGGTCTGTTTTTAATGAGGAAACAACACGAGCCTAATATGACTGCTTTAAGTGAAGGATTCATCTAAAAATAACAGGGGATTGAAATCATAATGCATACTGCAGGGCTTTTCATATGTGATCGTACCTGGTAGAAGTTGCATGAGACACTGCAGTGCTTCCTGTTTAGTGTCATCTTTCTGCTGCTGAGTGCGGACCACCTCTGGAGCGGTGGGCAACGTGCCCCCAGGCCACACTGCTTCCTGTATGACCTGCAGATACATGGTCCAGTACCTGGTGCACAACAGGTTAGCCACACTCACATCCAGAAATCTGCAACACAAAAAGAAAGGCATTTAACAGTTAGCTTGAGTTAGAAGAGTCCATGCAGCATAGAAGCATAGGCATAAGAAATAAAGTCTAGAGGAACACTGCATTTGACAAGAAAACAGGAATGAGACATTTTATTGATTTGATTGGCTATTTATCTTATTCATATTAGGTTTTAGGTCAATTACCCCATATTTTATATTATTTTACCTTTATTTAACCAGGATAATCCGTCTGAGATTAAGAATTATAATTAAGTCTGACCTGCAACCTGCCTTTATGAATTAAAAACTGATCTATGTTTCTAAATGAACAGCTGCAATTACTGGAAAATTGCAAAAGCAAGAAAAAACACATGATATTATAGTCTGTATTGTTTTATAATGTAGACATATGTCATAATGGCCAGCACATGTGAAGCATTTCTTCATACATTAACAACTCCTAGTTCAAGGTGGAGTGATCCTGGCAAAGGTTAGTTAACCTCCTGACCTGAAAATCCTTCAAAGTGACAGTTATTTAAATGTGTTGCGACCCTATCATCATGGCTGACCTGCCCAACACCGAATGATCCTTGGCAAACCTCTCCCTCCATACATTCCCATGCGGATTTGAAATCATGTGCGTTCTGCGGGCACTTTCCATGAATTTCTTAAGATCACAGTTGGATTTTGGGTCATGTGAAGAGGTCTTTTTGCGGCAGTGTGCAGCTCAGTGACTTTGACCCTTTTGTTGTGACGCGACCCTTTTCACACCAAGATGCCCAGAGGGGTGGAAACATTGCCCGCCGCCTCCCAGACTGGCCGGGACAGTTATTTAAAGTCTGCAAAAGCTAAAAACGACATCTCAATGTAACTCAAGCATGTCAGCATTGTATGGGTCGGACATGTGAAACTGTAGGGGAGGCTATAAGAACGCTACAGTGTCTACGTGACAAACAGCAGTGCACACAGGGACCGGGCATTCTCCATTTATAGTCTTCACAAACATAAATTCTGCAATGTTTCCAGGAGAGACAGAGCTGTGTAACACCATGCACATGCTCTTATGCAAGGTAAAGCTCACAGTGGAGCCCAAGTATGAGGGACATGTTATGCTGCTTTCACTGACTTGTGGCCCCTAATAAAGTTATTTCATTTGTGCTGTATGCAGAGGTCTGGACATGCCGGCTTCCATTTATAGTTTCCACTCTGTTTTCTTGCTTTATCTCATAGGAAAGCACAGAAGAAGCCAAAAACTCCAGGTTATTCTATACTACACGTGGGGGTGGGACCAAGTATGGGACAGTACATTGTGAACTTGCCGGAACATCTTATTTTTCCTGTAAAACATGCGTAGTATGTAATGTTTAAATAAATAGGTTTGAGACAGATAAAACCACAAATGTTTCAAAAGTGGATTTTTCAGTCCACTTGAGCTGCCAATTGACTATAAATATATCATTTATTGAAAAAGTCCAGGACAAACAGTACAAATCTTCTTGTTTATGTGGTTTCTTCCAGCACAATTACCATCTGATACAAGCAAATTACTGTCCAAAGAAAAAGTTAAAAAAAAAAAACATAATATGAGCAAACTATCCATTCTTGTTCTGTTGTTTGTCATTATGGGGAACATAAGCTTCTACTAATAATATTAGTATTACTGTGAGGAGACATACAGGGACTGTACTTGTTTTTCACAGCTATTGATCATAAAGAATTTTTAGACAAGATGTTTTGTTCTCTGCAGAGGAAATCTAGCATTGCTCAGTTGCTCAATCAAGAACTTGTTGATTAGTCGATTAGATACACAATTATTGTTTTTGTCCCCCTGATGAAGGCCAGTAGGCTGAAATGACATTTTAAATTTAAAGGAGAGTGCCTTGTTTTTTTTAATAATTTTGTATACATTGACAGTCACTTGAACAAACACCACTATATTTTGTTTGCTTTTCATCAGTGCCTGGATATATATATGCAGTGTTCCTCACTACCTTTCATAAACAATTATTATAAACCAGCTTAAGGATAGGCGGTATATCGGCACCAGTATCGGTATCAGCTGATATGATTCAATGACTCAATATCATATTGGATATATTCAATACTGATATTTTTCACACTGCCAGACTCAAAGTGCCCTTTTAGAACAGACTAATGAGTCAAAATGGAAATATAAAGGCATCATAGCCTTTTTTATACAGACATGTAAGAAATACATTTGTATCCCACTAAAATACATCCTGTTATTGTGTTTACAACAGCAAAAAGTAAATTTTTGATAGTTACTTTAACCTAATATAAATTAGTTGGCCTTGGTATGGATTTTAAATGAAAAATATAAATATCAGAATATATCAGTTATCGGCCACAGCAGCAAAGCCGAATATCAGAAATGGCTCAAAAAAATCCATATTGGGCCATCTCTAAACCAGATACAGGTGCTAAGTGACAATTGTATCTGGGGTGGGCTTACTTGACAAAAATGTAACATCTCAATATTATTTTGGAGTATCCCAATAATATTTTTATAATCTACCCACCTAAATCTAACCATTAAAGCTGTAATTATCAATGACATTTGGCATAATTGTTCGAGCTACATCTCTCCTCAGAAACGAGTACACTTTGGTTCCTGCTGCGATAAACTCAGCAGGTGTACAACAAAGTTTATTACTCTTTGGATTGTACCAGTCATAGACAAGCTCCATAAATTACTGAGAACTTTCCTCTGTCCCACAAACTGAACTCAGCACTCACAGCCAGATGTACAATAACCCAGTGACATTATGAAGGCTAATTTACAGTTGGGGATATAGGATTTCACTGTTAATGCTTTTAAACTGGAGTCAGTGTGAAAGAGATGGGTGGTCATACAGTACAGTATGTCCAGGGCTGTTTAGAAGTCTCTATAAAGATGTGAAAGGGACTTGACAAGTGCTGATTATAAATAACCATAAGACATAAGGTACACTTCATTGTCCCTGCAGGGAAATTTGTCCTCTGCATTTTACCCATCGTTCAGTTCCACTGGGAAACCTGTCAGGAGCACCCATACAAAACCATATTGTGAAACATTCCAGACAAAGCAATAATATCTTCACTGTGAAACCATTTGATGGACCTTCCATCAGAAAAGTTACACAATTCACTTTTAACCTTGCACAGCAAGATGAGTTTTTAAGATGTCTGAATTCACAAATTCACAAGAATCCATCTTGGCGTGTGACAGATGTACTTCAGCCTATTTTAACATCAGTATGGGCAATTGTTTGTGAAAAATGTGCAGAATGATGAGCATTTGTGTGCTGAGAGGATGTCTGTGCTTTTCTCTCAACTAGATGCAACAAAAGTTTGATTTTTGGGCTTGTTCCGCTGTTATGATATTTTGATGAGAATCAGATTAGTCCAATCAGCAAGAGCCATTCCAGATTGATAATGTGCAGAACTTAATTGAACAGAGGGAGACACATATCAGCCTGGCGTGAGCCAGGTTAAATATATATATCCAACAGTATTTGGATAAGTAACCCTCCAGCTATGGGTACTCTGAACAATGAAGTTACCCCAACATCTGGAGAAGGGCTATAGCCACCCACTGCTCCTGAAAGCTTGCCCCATCAACAATAAATGGGTCCAATGCAGAGGTCCAATTTCTCTCTGGGCCCTATGTAACTTTACCAATCCATAATAGACTGGACACTGGACAGATCACTGAAGATTTCTTTGCTGAATTTAAAGCTCAATTTTAATGCCCTTTAGTGATTCATGATCTTCAGCATTGTACATACAGTAGCTTTGCCAGAACAGAAAACAAATGACTGGTGCCTAATGTACTGGATTTATTGAAAACCACAGAGGAGTTGTTTATTGCACCATGTCAGCTCCTCTGTGTCATTTTATATTAGTCCCTTTGGCAGACAGCACTGTATTGACACAGCTACAAAAATAAATAAATTCATTAGCACCATAATTTCCCTGCTAAAAAATGACTGGTGTAATTAAGAGCTGGAGTGGAAAAAGTGACAGTGTGAGGAATCAGGAGCCATAGAAACCTTGGACCAAGACTCGTATTGTGTGAGTTGGCAGACGCTGACGGAGGAGCAACTGGCTGTGCATTAACTTTACATAAAATACAAAAGCATGTAATGATACCTATGGTGAAACATGTTTTTATTTAAACATCTTGACAAGACTAGATTTGATTGACAGTTAATGTATTTCTTTTTTTTTTGCACAGTATTTTTTGTATAGTTTTGTGTTCGTGTGTAATGAGTATGTAGAGAGGGGTGGGTTATGAGACTTGTTTTTGTTATGTATAATTTTAAAATTGAAAAAATAAAAATAAATAAATAAATAAATAAAATGAAAAAAATTGTAGATAATAGTATATGCATAAAATGTAATGGCATGATTATCGCATATTATTATTGAGTCTGGCTAATATTGATACTTTCCGTGAAGTCATCAACATTCTCTGGGAGAGTGAGGCTAACTGTAGGTATGCTTTGTCTGAGGTTTGTTAGACTTTAATCTGAGCTTTATTTTAACACAGTCTGACCTTAAAGAACTGACTTTGTTAGAATTGCAACAGAGGAGCTGATTTGTGCTGTTAAACAAGTCCCTCTCAAATTACATTACAGTCACAAGCCAGCTAGTATTAGCCAACAGTTTTTTAGTTACTCAAACTCATCTTTTTTGTTGAAAATCAAACATCTTGTTTAAATCCATTTTGTATTTTTTTTCCAGACAATTCTAAAACGTTTTGGCAGTGTTGCATGCATTGTGTCTCCATAGTAACCAGTGAGCATTCCACCAATACACACACATGTAGAATACCCCCAGCGTAATATCAAGTATCATTTGTTACATTATTTGATTTGACTACTACGGTTGGTGCTACATACTCACAGCAAGAAGGTCCTAGGTTCAACTCTTGGGACCTTTTTGTGTTGAGTTTGCATGTTCTCCCAAGCAGAGGAATATGGCATAAGATGTGTTCCCATGTTTTCCCTCATACTG